ACCAAATGTTACTTTTTTGTTTTTTAGGTCTAGGTCATATGTTTTGCCAACTATTTCCGTCAACAGGTAGTCACATTTAGCCTTAGGAGAAAAATTATGGATTTGAGAAACTGAGCTTTTGCTATCTGTCAATATACAAAACTCAGTTCCTTCTATTGTGGCAATATAATCCAAGGCTTTTAACAGAGCATACATTTCTGCGGAGAATATAGACATCATTGAAGGAAGCGTAATTTTACTACAGAATTGCTTAGTAGGGTCGTAAATAGCACATCCGACATTGCCACTTATTATCGAACCATCCGTAAAAATCAAGCGGTTGTTGGGAAGTCGTTGATTCACTTCCTCTATAAATAGTAAATTTGTATGCGGGGGATATTCAGCATAATCTTGTAAATAAAGTGTACTTAGAGTGCTAGTAGCTTTTGGATAGTCAAGTTGGTACATCGGGTGTAGCTGATGTTTATACATTGAAAAAATATCGGGAATAGCAGACAAAAAGGCACTTACTATTGGAGGGGGTTTCTTTTTCCTCCAATAACTCTCGGTCTGAACCAGCTCCGTCAATACTGAAATTTTTGGTAAAAGAGCACTCTCAGTATGTTGCAAATTTAGAAATTTATTTATAGCTAATTTTTGTATTTTAATTGCTGGAGGAGGCTCACCCGTTTCCGCGGAAAGGACTACCTTAGGTGTGCTTGGTAGCGCACCCAGAATCCGTCTAATACATTTTATTACTAAAGGTGTGAATTTTTTTTAAGTCCGTACCTGACGCCTGTCCGTAAAAAATCGACCCGAAATCCAAAATCGATCTAATCGAGGATTTGTAAAATAGTAACCCCATCGATGGCTCAGCTCCCCATCTTGCGCCAGTGAAACTGCAAATTACATTGTACAATTTTTCGCATTTTGTTAGGGTATTCTTAATATGTGTAGTCCAAGACATTTTGCCTTAATTCCGCCGGGAATTACTGTAGTTAAGTCTGATACGTACAGGGCATATAGAATAGGAGTAAGAATTCCTCCCTGAGGAACTCCTTTAAAGGAGGTTCTTGGTCCTATAAGTTTATCACCTTTATTTATTTTAAATTAAATTTTTCTGTTGGTTATTAAACTCATGATATTTACAATGAACGCAGTGGGGAGGCCTAATTTTTTAAGTTTGAGATGTAGCGTGTGAAAGTTTACGTTGTCATATGCTCCACATACATCTAAAAACAGCGCAAGAACCGTTTTGTTATGAGTTATCTGTATGTCCGTTACTAGCATCAGTTGAGCATCCACAACCGATCTGTTTCTGCGAAAACCGAATTGCGTTTGGGGAAGTACGTTGTTTCGTTCCGCCCACCATTCCAGCCTTAACTTAATCATTCGTTCAAATGTTTTTCCAACGCAAGACATCAAGGCCAATGCTATTGGCCGATATGAATTCGGAGAATATTCTGGTTTACCTATTTTTTTAATTAAAATCATTATGGTTTCTTTCCACGATTCGGGGACCTCTGATGACCGCCATATTTTGTTATACATCTCTAACAGTATTATTTTTGCGAATTGAGGCAGGTTGCTTAACATCTTATAATGTATTTCATCCATCCCTGGACATGTATTATTTGAATTTTTTAGGGACACATTTAGTTCTGACATAGAGAAGGGATGTAGAATTTCGCAACAATTTTGTTCTTTACCGGAGATCTCTTTTTCATTGTTAGATGGACCTTGGGGACATAGAGCCAATATAACATTCTCCACCCATTGACCATACATATGGGGCATCGGCTGAGGAGTGTGAACATTTTTTATCACCCTTAGTTTGTTCCAAATTACTTTAATTGGCGTGGACCTTTTAATCGTGGAACAAAAGTATTTCCATGATTCACGTTTTGCTTCCCGAAAGACTCTGTGGGCTTCAACTGACAATTCTTTCAAAATTTCGAAATTGGGTTTTGTGGGGAGTTTCTTATAGGCTTTGAATGCCAGTTTACGTTTTTCAGCAATTCTTGCGCAGTCATCATCCCACCACGTTTTGCCTAGTTTTCTGCAAGAGGGAGTAAACGACTGATTAAGGGGTATGCTTTCTTTCCCCACTTTATTCATTATCCGTACAAGAACATCATAATTCCCGGAGTTTTCCAGAATGATGGATTTATTTTCTTTTGCTTCCCACTTCTCTTTATACAGAGACCAATTGGCCTTTTTTATATCCCACTTGCCCGGTTTATTAAAAATTTTTACGACTGAAGTATTTCTAATACAGAAAAGGACTGGCAGGTGGTCGGATCCTATCGGATCTTCTAAAACCCTCCAGTCTGATTTTAAAGCTAAGTCCGAAGATACTAGAGTTACGTCCACTGCAGAATGTCTTACATGGTTCGGAAGCTTTACTTTTGTTGGGGAACCATCGTTCAAAAAAATCAAATCATGTTTTTCCAACGCCTCAATCAAATCCGCTCCTTTTTTATGGGTCCATTCAGATCCCAAGGCAAGATGGTGAGCATTAAAATCACCGCCTATAATGCATGGTTTTGCAATCGCTTTAAAGAAGTTATACCATTCTAAGGCCGATACCCTGTTAGTTGAGTATAACGATATGACGTTAATGGGAGGATGGTTTCCCGCATAAATTTTAATCCCAACTACTGAGTCCTTTAGAATGTTTTTTTTGTTAATTTTTACAAATTGAAAGTCCTTCTTTACTAATATTCCTACACCTCCATATTCCTCATCCCTATCTATCCTAACAAAGTGATAGTCCCTAAATTTACAAGTTTTATTAGGTCCTAACCATGTTTAAGAAATAAGAGCTATATCGATCCTTAAATCACATATACTTTTTTTGAAGTTATCCTTTTTAGGTAACAGGGAGTGCATTCCATTGTAAAAAACTAAGCTTATATTTGTTAATTAATCTATCATTATTTAGATTTTGAGCTTTTTTTAATTATTACTCCAAATGATCTTTTGCACTACTGAATTGGGTGAGCAACTGCGTAAGAGTGTTAATTATTGAGAGTAATTTATCCCCGGGACTGGAAATAGATTCAGACTTTAATTCCTCAATCATACCTTTTAAATGGCTGATAAGGTCCTCTATGTCGTATTGTTTAGAATTTTCTTTTTTATCTTGGTGTGCTTGAGAATTGGTGTGAATTCTGATCCCGAATGATTTTTTAATATGATCGTCGGGTCTAATTTCCCTTCGACGTCTTTTAACAGGATTTGAAGTAGATAATTGAGCTGTCTCTGAAATTTCTTCTTTTCCTTGCAAATCAGAAACCCTCTGATCTACTTCTTCTGGGAAAATTTTTCGCGAACTCTTGGTTTCTAAATTTTTAATTTTTATTGGACGTCCTTTGTATAAGTTACAATTAATATTTTTACTTTCATTAATCGCACCGTTATTACTTAGTGCTGGGAATTCGCTTTGATTTTGTAATAAGTTAAAACGGTTAGATGTAAATAGGTTTGTATATAATGTATTAGTCTGAGCTTTTATTTTTTTCTCACGCGCTGTTTGAACGAACTTTGGACATTTCCTATCGTTTGACTTATGGTTGCCCGAACAATGCAAACACTGAGCTGGCTTTAGGCAAGTTTCACCGTCATGTTCTTGAGAACAGTTTATACATTTTTTCGGCTTCTACAATGATTTTGAACGTAATTGAATCTTAGACAATTATAGCACTGTCGGATTGGAGCTACATATGGGTCTACTTTACATCTCATGCCATATATATTTACATATTCAGGCAATACTTGAGCGTCGAAAGTAACAAAACAAGTACTCAATAAACGAGTTGTAGTATTGCCGGTGCCATCTACCATGCGTTTTGTAAACCGACGGATGCTTTTAACACGTATTGATGAGACGATATTGTTTAATATTTCCCCTTCGGTCAAGTCAGTGGATACGTTCCGAATTACACCAATTTTATTAATGAAAAAGGAAGGAACATAGGGATAGAGACCTTTTTGTTTAAACACATCTCAATTTATCAAATCATTAGCTGCCTTATAAGTTTTGGTTACTATTTTGATCCTATTAAGGCCGGAACTAGAAATATTAGATATATCATTAGTAATGGTTTTATTTAATTCCCAAATCATTTTTCCTAACGCCATAGGGTGAATATTTCCTGCCCGCTTGTCAACTCTTTCCAGAAACACTACAAACGGTCCTATGTCCGAGGGCTTATAGGAATTTTCTTTTAATTTTTTAAATATATCTAATCGTTTTTGCCTATTCCTATCTTCAGAGCTTACATTTTCCATATCTGCATCTATTGCTACATTATTTTCTGGAATATTTTCCAAATTATTTGTTTCCAATTTAGAGCAATTTGTTTTGTCCATATATTCCAATGATTGTTTTTTTGAGCCATCCTTGTCTGGAGGATCTTTCCCGTTCCCTAAATGACTCATCTTGATAATTTATTGCTGCTGCTCCTATTAAGTTTATTGGGAAAACAAATATGTCTAGTGAATACGTATAATAAAATATACAATAAAATACGTATAATAAAGAGCACACGTGCTTCAAGAGAAGAAAAACAATTTAATAAATAATTTTAAATTAACAACGCATGCATTGAACTTGAATGCTAAGTAAATCACAGGCACAAGGTCAAAACAACAAAAACACCCAAAACACGATAAAATTAATAAATAAGACTAAAGAAATTATATGGAAATAACAAAATTACATTAATTGAACAATTTTTAAAACAGTATTCGAGAAAACAGAAAATATTTTTCATGCAAAGAAATAGGTACTCCCTGTTAGAGATTAACTCGTTGATCCGATGTTTACTCCTCGAGAGATAACCGAAGACTAATCATGATTGAATTAGTTAATTTTTGCCCAACTCTGATCCCAACTTACTCACATAACCACTGAGATCATGCTTGATTAAAAGAATGTGACAGCTTCGTTGGGCTGGATCGGCAGAGCATCACTGAGGTATCAAGAGCACTGTCGATAGGTGGCCTTTAGAGTATCTGACTTGTAGAAGAAGAGTCATCATTAAGGATAGGGCATGCGAGGTTGACACACCGTTATGAGCGAAAGGTTGCTCGGCGTATTCCACCTAATTGAAGGGTGCAGCCCCTTGGCTCGTCTCTCAGTCCCCTCTTCCGATTCTTAGAGGACACTGGGCTGTTTTACTGCATGTAGTAATGATAGTTTTGTGTCCCTAGCGTGTGTTGACGATGAATGTATTTATTGGCGTGGAGTCAGAGGGCCGATGGAGGAATTTTATAAATATTCCGCTATNCACACACACACACACACACACACACACACACACACACACACACACACACACACACACACACACACACACACACACTGTTGATAGCTCCAGGAGCCCAATCTCGGCGCAGTACGGACCGACGTCCGAACTTGAAGAAGTTTTTCGTTCTAATAAATTCAGTAATTCATAATGCAATTAAAAGAAAACGAAACACAAAACGATATATCTACCATGCAAAAAATTGATAAAACAACACTGTTCCTTAAAAGGGGGTCCCAAAGACCCATTACAATGCTCCTGCCATTCGTACTTGCTCTCTATAAGGAGCCAAAAAAAACAAAAAACTCGTCAATCAAGTGCTACAACTCGAGAATGCTTAATATGTATTATTCTAGTTGTATCCGTGTGTTTTTTATGTTTAAGTTTCTTTTTGATTGGTCAAACGCGTTATTTAATTTTAGCTGTTTTTGTGTGCCATTATTTAAAGATGGAAAATTAACATAATTGCGATTGGATTGAGCGCATGATTATAAAAAGGTCGTACTTTCTAAAGGAAAAGCTAAAGCGGAGTAAATTGTACCGAACATCCCAAAGAGAATCGTTTGAAAAGGGTCGTTTTCCTATTGAGAAATAAGAAAACGCCAACTTTTCTCATTCCCTGAATTTCGTTCACTTGTTTACATCGATATTTAAGAGGATTTATCCGGGACCCAGTCCCGAAGTTGATACGCCGTTTTTAGGTAGGATTTTAAATAATTAGATTAGCCAGTGAACTTTGTAAAGGGGACATCCGCAGAGACGGATGGAGCCAGGTAGAATCTGCATAAACACGACCGTCGTCAGTGGCATACTTTCACCGAATGTTAATCGGACCCATAAAACAAATTGATTGAGATACGGCGAAGCAAGCTGAGGTGTGTGTTGTTCCAGAGTTGGCGAAAGTTATGAGCTTCGATTGGGCGTTGACTACTTGCTGTAATTCGGCACCACCCGAACCAACTTAACACACTCAACAACTTTGCGTGCATCCCGGCATGTTGATCATTTCGAATACAGGCCTCAATTGTAGTCAGCCATATCCGAGTCAACAATTACATCGCTTTCCACTACGTATATTTTTAGAGCTTGATTAGATAAAAAACAAAAATCTTAAAGTCTTGCGTTATTTAAACATTTCTAAAACACTGTAAAGCTTAAAGTTGAGTATGTAATTGGTCATTAACAGATTATTTTTCGCAAGAATTTATGCACAAAAGCCAATGGAATTGGCAATGAATGATTGTAAACTGTAAGTCACGAAGATCAGAAATGTGGCCTTCATTACTACTGATTTTCAAGATGAATGCCCATAGATAATTAAATAGACTAGGATGTAAAAACAAAAACACCATACATGATTTAACAGTACCAACTTTTTTACAGGAAACAATGCAATAATTAACTGTTCAATTATTCCAACGGATTAAATGAAGTAAATATATAGCCACTTCATTTAGCATAATCTAGTAGATAAAAAATGTCATATTCAAAATAAGGCGCCACACATTTGTGGAAGGGGAAGACCAATCCTAAATTAAATGCAGCCCACCTGGGTCGGACAACCTAAAAGTTATGTCATCCCCACGCAAAGAAACACAGTGCCACCCACTGGCACACATTATTAAATTGACCCTCATAATCTTCAACAAAACTCTGAATTTTTAGTTTGTTGTTGTTTATAACGCGAAAGGAATTGAAAGAAAGGGAGACGGTTTAGCCATTCTTTCAAACCAAAGACTGTCACTCGTGATATTTAACGTCCTTTGGTATTCTCTACAATGTACTAACCAAAAATGTTCTTTTGCCATATATTTATGTCATTTTATCAGATTGTATCAGATAAAGATTTGGGGAATAGGGAAAAATTAACAAAAACTAAGGAATCGACAACTTAACATTTTAATGAATTAATCATTAATTAAGGTTTTGGTTGAGATAAAAAGTCAGTGTCACGAGCGAGATTCGAACCCAGGACCTTCAGCTAGATACGCCGCTGCTCTACCACTTGAGCTATCGTGACTTCGATCCACTCGGACACTAACTTCCCATCAAAACCCCACCTTTTGAATTTTCCCTCCTTTTTGTATCTCAACCAAAACCTTAATTAAAGATTAATTAATTGAATAGAATTTATTTGGTCAATCGGACCACGAAACCTAATAGAGTTAACATTTTAAATTACCTCCTTATAAATTCAAATTAAACTTTTTTCGTATAAAATTACCTCTTTTCAATTTCAAATTACAATTTTTAACAGTACACTAAATTTTTCATATCAACCAAGACCTTAGATAAAATGTATATTTAATTGGAAAGTATTTAATTTTTTTAATGGCTTGGATATTCGCCAGAATACGATTCTATTGATTATTTCATCATAAATATTGGGGAAGAAGGGTTGCGTGAAAAAGGGCCAAGGGCGATTCCACATCTGACGTCCCTGATAACAACTAAGAGAACATTATCTGCGTAAGTTGATAGATAAATCTACAAAACAATCTGCATTTATGTTACACTGCCAATCTAAATAAAAAAGTATTCGAAATAACTGACAGGCACAAAATTCCGCCCAATATAACTTGATTTGTATATATTTTTATACATTAATCAAAGTTTCACGTTTTTTAACGTTTAATAATTCAGTCTCTGTCCAAAAAAGGAAAAAAGAAATGTAAATTGCTAAGAAAAATTAAAAACATATATTCTTTTAAAAGACGGACAGATTAAACTTATTTTATTTTTGTTTTAGATTTTTAATTAACATTTCACTATCGCGTACTTCCTTCTCTTGCCTTAATTACATTTCGAAGACGCCTCGGCCTGGTTTCTACCAGTCAGGAAATATCTCATTGCTGGAGGTTACCATTCTTCACGAAGTGTCCTTATAAGATCGTTGAGTCAGAACTTGATGAACGTGCTCTTATTCTTTTGAGGTTATCCCATAAATGTTCGATGGGGTTCCAGTCTGGAGAACGGGCTGGCTAGGCTAAGACCCTGATTTTATGTTGTTGAAGGTAGGTTTCTACTATTCGAGCGACATCTGGACGGACATTATCGTTCATTAGAACAGGATTGTCGCTCAATTCATCGAGGATAGGCAACGCATGATGTTTCAAATTTCACTCACATAGCGAATGGCGAGAGATACTTGGGCGAGAGACAGTAGAGAAAAAGCCGAATTGTTTGCTAGTTACCTTGCTGAAATCTTCAAACCAAATGAAATCATCAATGGCAGCTTTCTTGAAGTAACAACCACGCCACAAGAAGAAAATATAAAGCTAATTTCATCGAAAGAAGTAGCACAAGAAATTAAAAATTTACCCTCTAAAAAGACTCCAGGATATGACCTGATCACTGGAGAAATACTAAAACAATTGCCAAAAAAGGGTATAGTTAAACTAATATACCTATTTAATGCTGCAATCAGACTGAAATATGTTCCCAGTATCTAGAAATTCGCAGAAGTCATTATGATAAAAAAATCAGGAAAACCGGCGAACGAGGTCGAATCATATAGACCAATACCGTTACTACCAACAGTGTCTAAACTCTTCGAAAAGTTATTATTAAAACGAATAAAACACATCGTAGATAAAAAGACAATCATTCCTGACCACCAATTTGGATTCCGAACAAGACACACAACAATAGACCAAATTCACCGAGTAACGGACGTAATAGAAAAATCTCTTGAAGAAAAACAAATTTGTTCTGCTATTTTCCTTGATGTCTCACAAGCTTTTGACTAGATCTGGCACGAAGGACTCATCAATAAACTAAAAGGTATGCTACCAAAGCAGTATGTCGATATCATCAGTTCCTACCTAACTGGCAGAACGAGAAGATCAATATTCAAAATTAAAAACAATAAATGCAGGAGTGCCACAAGGTAGCATATTAGGTCCACTTCTTTACTTGTTATACACCAGTGATTTTCCGAAAATAGATGGAGTAAAAATTGCAACGTTTGCAGATGACACAGCGGTGATATCAGTAGGACCGACTATCACCCATTCAAACAAAATCCTCCAAAATGCATGTAATAAGATGAACAAATGCACACAAAAAAAATGGAAAATCAAGCTAAATCAGCATAAATCAGTTCATCTAATCTTTACAAATAGAAAGGTG